GCAATAAAAACTAACAGAGGTTCTAAACCTTCACTGCTTTCTCCAAACCTAAAAAAAAAAGTTTTGTTTTTAAATACGTATTACTCTCACTTCATGTGTCTGTGATACTGATAACTGGTAATCTTCCTTGTATTTATGTCTAGTGACTCCGCAGGTGATAGAGCCTGTGAGATTCTCCCTCAGTGATTCAGGAGAGGTGAAGTGTTCCCTGACTCTGAAGAGATTCTACCCTCAGGATATTTCCATCACATGGAGCATGGGAGAAGCAGAAACCGAGCTGACGTCTGAAGGCACACCAGCCAATTCTGAGGATGATGGAACATTTGATGTTACAAGTGTGTGCACACTGCCCCAGGATCTCCGCTTTCCTGTGTATGTGATGTGGAATCATCATTCATTGAGACAACCTCAGAGGACCGTACTGAGGACATCAGGTAATACATGAACACAGCACAATATATCATTCTCCAGTACATGCTGCATTCTAACTAAAGTTTGCTCAGAGCTGGAAGTAATTGTCAGCAAATCTAATTTCCTAAAGTGAACCTGTAGAGTGATCGGCATTTACTTGTTCACTACCCCACAGCAGAGGGTGCAGCAGACTAATAAAACTAATGTGGGATCCTGTTATTAATATCACACTAAGGATCCATTCACATTTCTGTGTTGTGGTAAAGTGCAGAAAAATGCATTTTATTTAAATTTGCTATTTATTTATAGTAATAACGTGCTATGTGTTGTGGTGCGCTGCATAAAAAAAGGTTAATGGGTATTTTTTTGTGGATTAAGAAGCATTGCCAGGACACTCACAGTGAATAGGTGGATTTAATGCATGATACTGTATCACCTTAATACAATGCACAGTGTGAACTCCTATATAACATATCACGCCATCCATTGGAAGTCTCTCATCACTGCCTTGTGTTCGCTCATCAGTTCAAGGTGTTGTGAGTACTTTTCAGTCATTTCTGGCTCCGTCCTGTGAGTGTAACAGAGTTAGATCATCATGCACTCATTAAATTAATTGGAATGTATATTTCAGCATTTCTTCTTCCCTCATTCTGGGGGGTAACAGGAGAAACACCCACCCCATACCCAGATCAGTCCTCTGGCCGCACTGGTGAGTGGTTCTTATTGCTTTAATAACATAAAATCATTATAGGATTATTTCCATAATACATTACTTGAAAGTTACATAATCACATGTCATTGTGTATTTTATAATATTTGGTTCATATAGATGAATTATTCTGATTACCTTTCAGATCTTCCTTGGCGCCCCCAGATTGAAGAACTTAAATCATCTAATATAAATCTCAACACTGAATCCAAAATACAAGTGAAAATCTCTGGATGTTTTTCTATGGATGTGACTGTGACTTGGTTTAAAAAGATGGGGACAGACAACTTTGTTGCTGTGGATAACAATAAATACAAGGCTGTAACCAGTGATCACCAGAGACACTCAGATCACACCTACAGCTGTACAGCCAGTCTGATATTCACCCCGACACTGCCAGAGGACCAGAGGTCAGAGTTCATGTGCAGAGTGCATCATCCCAGTATGGAGAAGCCAACAGAGAGAAGAATAGGACCCCTAGAAATCATACGTAAGTACTCTACACTGACAACCTATAACTATTAGGATGTTCTATTGCTGGAATAGAGAAGTTCACATAGAATTCAGAAAGCATTTCCAGTGACAAAAAAATAATTAATTATTTTTAGGCTGAAGCTTTGATTTTTTTTGGGAGGTGAAATGGTAACATGACCCCTGGGAATTGCCCAGAACTGGTACAATGGTTGGTTACATTTCAACCTAATACACACTGCGGTATTCTATAGATAATAAAAGTGACAGTGTAATCTCTCTTGTATTTATGTCTAGTGACTCCGCAGGTGATAGAGCCTGTGAGATTCTCCCTCAGTGATTCAGGAGAGGTGAAGTGTTCCCTGACTCTGAAGAGATTCTACCCTCAGGATATTTCCATCACATGGAGCATGGGAGAACCAGAAAACAAGCTGATGTCTGATCGCAAACCAGCCAATTCTGAGGATGGTGAAACATTTGATGTTACAAGTGTGTGCACACTGCCCCGGGATCTCCGCTTTCCTGTGTATGTGATGTGGAATCATCAGTCAGTGAGACAACCTCAGAGGACCGTACTGAGGACATCAGGTAATAATACAGGAACACAGCACAATATATCATTCTCCGGTACATGCTGCATTCTGACTGAAGTTTGCACAGAGCTGGAAGTAAATGCCAGGAAATCACATTTCCTAAAGTGAACCTGTAGAGTGATCGGCATTTACTTGTTCACTACCCCACATCAGAGGGTGCAGCAGGCTAACAAAACAAAACCTGTTTTTAATATCACACTAGGGATCCATTCACATTTCTGTGTTGTGGTAAAGTGTAGAAAAATGCCTTTTATTTAAATCTGCCATTTATTTGGAGTGGCAGCCCAATTCACAGGCACAGTAACAGGCAACACACCTGCAGTGTAATACACCACAATTAACATGCTATATGTTGTGGCGCGCTGCATAAAAAAAGGTTAATGTGCATTTTTTGTGTGAGTTGAGAAGTATTGCCAGGACACTCAAAGTGAATAGGATGACCTAATGTATAATACTGTGTCACCTTAACTCAATGCACAGTGTGAACTCCTATATAACATATCATGGCGTCCACTGGAAGTCTCACATCACTGCCTTGTGTGCACTCATAAGTTCAAGGTGTTGTGGGTGCTTTTCAGTGGTTTCTGGCTCTGTCCTATCAGTGTAACAGACTGGGCTAATCATACACTCAATTAATTATTTATCATGCGGAGGACAAACCTATAGAGGTCTGAGATATCACCTTCCCCTCAATTAGACACTGTATATTGCAGCATTTCTTCTCCCCTCATTCAGGGGGGTAACAGGAGAAACACCCACCCCATACCCAGATCATTTATTTGGCCGCTCTGGTGAGTGGTTCTTATTGCTTTAAAAACTTAGTCATTATAGCATCATTTTCATAATACATTACTTGAAAGTTATATAATCACATGTCATTGTGTATTTTATAATATGTGGCTCATTTGGATGAATTATTCTGATTACCTTTCAGATCTTCCTTGGCACCCCCAGATTGAAGATCTAAATTCATCTGACCTAATGCTCAACACTGAATCCAAAATACAAGTAATTATTTCTGGATATTTCCCTGATGATCTGACTGTGACTTGGTTTAAAAACATGGGGATGGACAACTTTGTTGCTGTGGATAACAAAAGATACAAGAATAAAATCAGTGATCACCAGAGACAGTCAGATAACACCTACAGCTGTACAGCCAGTCTGATGTTCACCCCGACACTGACAGAGGACCAGAGGTCAGAGTTCATGTGCAGAGTGCAGCATCCCAGTATGGAGGAGCCCATAGAGAGAAGTATAGGACCCCTACAAATCATAGGTAAGCACTCTACGCTGACAATCCATTTATATTATATTGCTAAGATAGGTAAGCTCACATAGAATTCAGAAAGTGATTTCAGTGAAAACATAAATGATTCTTGTTCAACTAATTATTATTTTTAAACTAACTGGCTACCTAAATCCTGGAAATCTCCCAAATATATTACAATGTATGTCTGATTACACATACAATTACATTTTAAAATTACGTATATTTTAAACCAAATCTTTTTCTTTTTAGCTGTGTGTGTAGAGTAGGGAATGGTTACAGTCCCTGTCAGGTTTGTTTGATGTACCATTGGGGAAGAATAACCTTTACATTCTGTTGTGGAGGCTTAACAGGAAGTGGGAGGAAATTCCTTCAAAGTTATGGCAAATCACCTCCTAGACAGTTGTCACCAGCACAAGTGTGCCTATTGGAAGACTTGCTCTCTATGCCTGTTCCAGTGACAACTATAAAATGTTGGCTTTCCCATTATTGTAACAGAGAAAATGATCAGCAGGACAAACAGAGAGAGTGAATCTTCCCAGGAGGGACAGAGACAGCAATAAAAACTAACAGAGGTTCTAAACCTTCACTGCTTTCTCCAAACCTAAAAAAAAAAGTTTTGTTTTTAAATACGTATTACTCTCACTTCATGTGTCTGTGATACTGATAACTGGTAATCTTCCTTGTATTTATGTCTAGTGACTCCGCAGGTGATAGAGCCTGTGAGATTCTCCCTCAGTGATTCAGGAGAGGTGAAGTGTTCCCTGACTCTGAAGAGATTCTACCCTCAGGATATTTCCATCACATGGAGCATGGGAGAAGCAGAAACCGAGCTGACGTCTGAAGGCAAACCAGCCAATTCTGAGGATGATGGAACATTTGATGTTACAAGTGTGTGCACACTGCCCCAGGATCTCCGCTTTCCTGTGTATGTGATGTGGAATCATCATTCATTGAGACAACCTCAGAGGACCGTACTGAGGACATCAGGTAATACATGAACACAGCACAATATATCATTCTCCAGTACATGCTGCATTCTAACTAAAGTTTGCTCAGAGCTGGAAGTAATTGTCAGCAAATCTAATTTCCTAAAGTGAACCTGTAGAGTGATCGGCATTTACTTGTTCACTACTGTCCTCTTTCTGGTGGGGTAACAGGAGAAACACCCACCCCATACCCAGATCATTTCTCTGGCCGATCTGGTGAATGGTTGTTATTGCTTTAGAAACTTATAATCATTATAGGATCATTTGTATAATACATTACCTGAAAGTTACATAATCACACGTCCTTGTGTCTGTTATAATATTTGGTTCATATGGATGAATTATTCTGATTACCTTTTAGATCTTCCTTGGCGCCCCCAGATTGAAGATCTAAATTCATCAGACCTAATGCTCAACACTGAATCCAAAATACAAGTGAATATTTCTGGATATTTCCCTGGGGATCTGACTGTGACTTGGTTTAAAAAGATGGGGACAGACAACTTTGTTGCTGTGGATAACAATAGATACGAGAGTGTACTCAGTGATCACCAGAGACAGTCAGATCACACCTACAGCTGTACAGCCAGTCTGATGTTCACCCCGACACTGACAGAGGACCAGGGGTCAGAATTCAACTGCAGAGTGCAGCACTGCAATATGGAGGAGACCATAGAGAAAAGAACAGGACCTCTACAAATCATAAGTAAGTACTCAACACTGACAATCCATTTATATTATATTGCTTGGATAGATAAGCTCACATAGAATTCAGAAAGTGATTTCAGTGAAAACATAAATGACTTTAAGCCTGCAGATGTATATTTTTTTAACTAACTTTCTACCTAAATCCTGGAAATGTCCCAAATACTATATATTACAATGTATGTCTGATTACACAAACATTTACATTTTAACATAAATTATATTTTAAACCCATTTTTTTTCTTTCTAGCTGTGGGTAGAGTAGGGAATGGTTACAGTTCCTGTCAGGTTTGTTTGATGTACCATTGGGGGAGAACATTCTTCACTTTCAGTCCCGGAGCCTTCACAGGAAGTGAAAGGAAACCCCTCCTAAGATATGGCAAATCAACTCTTAGGCTCTGTTCACACATTAGCGCTAGGTGCGGAACCACACAAAACATAAGAACTAATATATTCCAGTTTGCCCTGTTCACACCTGCACGCCTGTCCATGTGGCACAAAAAGGCTCATTGTGCAAAAAAGTCCAAGCGCGATATTCTGGGCGGCTTTGGCAAGTTGCAGCTATAGTAGCAGCCGCAAAAGTGCGGAATCCACGCGTAGGTTAAAATGTGCACATTTTCGTTCCGTTTGATTTTCAAACAGCTATGTGTGAATGGAGCCTAAGATAGTTGTCAACAGCACAAATGTCCCTATTGGAAGACTTGCTCTCTATTCCTGTTCTAGTGACAACTATAAAATGTTCATCAATAACATAATACAGCTCTAAACAAACCCTCGTGATGTGCTAAATAAATCAATTAATAAATAAATACATTTATAAATAACAATAGAATAAATATATCTATATATAAATTGTGAAGAAAATAGTGTCCAACCTAAGATTTGTGTGAATCAATTACTGTGAATCAGTGAAATAAATACAAAGTGAAATTGCTGATAGTGAAGAAAATGAGAAATATCAAAACAATTACTTAAAAGTCCAATCCTTAATCGTGAAAGTGTGAAAGCTTCTGTCGGTTAGACCATCAGAGGACCTTCTCCCAGGTCCAATAAAGTGCAAATATAATAAGCCCGTGTCAAAAAGTCACTCCGTGTTCCAAAACATAGTGCTCCTACGTATATCCAAACAAACGTCCCCCCTGTGTCTATGCACTCACCAGAGGCTCCGACTGTCTAAAACAGTCAACGAAGCGCTTTGAGAAAATCAAGGGCAAAGCTCAGCGTCTCTCCTCCCCGTAAATTTCCTCCATCCACCACGCTCATCCCCGGTGTCCATTCTTATTAAAGAGGCAAATAAAACCTTCATGGTGTAGTATTAAAGTTTTATTCAAATAAAAACAATCAAGAACTCATGTTTAAGAAACCCAACAGGGGGCCGGCAACAATATAAAAGTCTGTCTCCTCAGAACGAAAAGTGTGACATCAGAAAGACCCGGGGTTTTGATATTTCTCATTTTCTTCACTATCAGCGATTTCACAATGTATTCATTTCACTGATTCACAGTTAGGTTGGACACTATTTTCTTCACGATTTATATATAGATATATTTATTCTATTGTTATTTATTTATTGATTTATTAAGCACATCACTAGGGTTTTTTAGCGCTGTATTATGTTATTGGTGATTGATTGAGGCATAAGAGCCTTTGTGCAACAGCTTTTTACCTTTTGATGTTATTCAGTCCCATTAGCGCAGATTAATATATCATTAACTATAACATGTTGGCTTTCCCATTATTGTAACAGAGACAATGATCAGCAGGACAAACAGAGTTAGTGAATCTTCCAGCAAGGACAGAGACAGTAACACAAACTAACACAGGTTTTAAACCTTCACTGTTTTCTCCAAACCTTAAAAAATACATTGTATTACTCACTTCATGTGTCTGTGATACTGGAAACTGGTAATCTCTCTTGTATTTATGTCTAGTGACTCCACAGGTGATAGAGCCTGTGAGATTCTCCCTCAGTGATTCAGGAGAGGTGAAGTGTTCCCTGACTCTGAAGAGATTCTACCCTCAGGATATTTCCATCACATGGAGCATGGGAGAACCAGAAACCGAGCTGATGTCTGATGGCACACCAGTCATTTCTGAGGATGATGGAACATTTGATGTTACAAGTGTGTGCACACTGCCCCGGGATCTCCGCTTTCCTGTGTATGTGATGTGGAATCATCAGTCAGTGAGACAACCTCAGAGGACCGTACTGAGGACATCAGGTAATAATACATGAATACAGCACAATATATCACTTGTTACTGTTTACATTCTAGTAATTAATGATAAAAGTCTTCACATAAAATAAGTCTTCTATCATACTTGTAGATTCATAAAATGTCTGCTGATAACTGAACTAAAAAATGTTCTATGTGTATTAGAAATAGACTTTAATGTTACGCTCAACTCTGAGAAATATAGGTAATGATGGACTGTAATGTTTGACTGGACTGAGCACACCTTTATGAGCTCCAGAGTTCAGGAACTGAAGATTAGTCCTAGAAGTTCAATTGTTTCCGTTAACGACATACTGGATCGTTGTGTAAAATTCTATTCACTTTCTTCATTTATATTGTGCTGACAAGTTTCACATTACAGGTATTTACATAATTCTCATCTGTCCTTTCTCCAACAAAGTTTATATTATAATGTCCCTGCCATAGCTATACACACTTGGGCCAATTTGGATTGGAGGCAAGTAATATTCCTATGTGTTTAAATAGAAATTGCGAGGAACCAGGATCGCAACCGGGAAATCCACAAAAACATGAGAAAGGAAACTCCATGCAGGTCGTGTCCTACTGGGAAATGATTTCAGGATCCGACTCTCACTGGCTCTCCAAAGCACTGGGGCATCTTCCAATGGAACCCACTCTTAGGCTTTCTCTTCTCCTAATCAGTACCCAGCAGAAAGATCAGGAAAGATCCCACTGTCTTCCCATCAGCAGAATGATGGAAAATATCCTAAAAATCTGAAGCTCCTCCCCAATGTCCAAACACAGAGGTGGTAAAGCTTGTCATTGTGCCAGAAGATGGAAGATGTTACATATGCCAGTGTCAGAGGACTTCAGAATGTCATGATGTGTCTCAGAATATAGTATATTAGAATACTTCACCCCTATAGAACACATCATACCATCCGATGGAGGTCATCAGTTGGCGCTTGTCAGTCTAGGATGCTGTGGATGCCTGTCAGTGGTTTCTGGCTCTGTCCAATGTGTTTAACAGACTGAGATATTCAAACAGCATAACATTATATGTGGGGACGTTTGTGTCACATGACCTCTATGCATTCCTTAGTGTGTAGAGGAATGAATGTACGATTGTAAAGATGTATGGGATATCACCCCCCATTAGACATGTAGCAGAATAGATCGCTCCGGTGAATGGTTGTTATTGCTTTAAAAACTTAAAATCATTATAGGATGATTTGTATAATACATTACCTGAAAGTTACATAATCACATGTCCTTGTGTCTGTTATAATATTTGGCTCATTTAGACTAATTATTCTGATTACTTTCCAGATCTTCCTTGGCGCCCCCAGATTGAAGAACTAAATTCATCCGACCTAAAACTCAACACTGAATCCAAAATACAAGTAAAAATCTCTGGATATTTCCCTGATGATCTGAGTGTGAGCTGGTATAAGAAGAATGAGGAGACAGATGACCTTGTATCTGTTGGCAATGACAATAAATACAAGACTGAAGTCATTGGACACCAGAGACTGCCAGATCACACCTACAGCTGTACAGCCAGTCTGATCTTCACCCCGATACTGCCAGAGGACCAGAGGTCAGAGTTCATCTGCAGAGTGCAGCACCCTAATATGGAGAAGCACCTAGAGAGAAGAATTGGACCCCTACAATTCATGAGTAAGCACTCTACACTAACAACCTATAGCAATAGGGATGTTATATTGCTGGAATAGAGAAGTTCACATAGAATTCAGAAAGCATTTCCAGTGACAACAGAAATAATTCTTTTCAGGCTGAGCTGTGATTTTTTTTTTAGGTGAAATGGTAACATGACTCCTGGGAATTGGCCAGGACTGGTACAATGTTTGGTTACATTGCAAATTAATACACACTGTGGTATTCTATAGATAATAAAAGTGACAATGTAATCTCTCTTGTATTTATGTCTAGTGACTCCGCAGGTGATAGAGCCTGTGAGATTCTCCCTCAGTGATTCAGGAGAGGTGAAGTGTTCCCTGACTCTGAAGAGATTCTACCCTCAGGATATTACCATCACATGGAGCATGGGAGAACCAGAAACCGAGCTGATGTCTGATGGCACACCAGTCATTTCTGAGGATGATGGAACATTTGATGTTACAAGTGTGTGCACACTGCCCCGGGATCTCCGCTTTCCTGTGTATGTGATGTGGAATCATCAGTCAGTGAGACAACCTCAGAGGACCGTACTGAGGACATCAGGTAATAATACATGAATACAGCACAATATATCACTTGTTACTGGTTACATTCTAGTAATTAATGATAAAAGGCTTCACATAAAATAAGTCTTCTATCATACTTGTAGATTCATAAAATGTCTGCTGATAACTGAACTAAAAATGTTCTATTTGTATTAGAAATAGACTTTAATGTTACCTTCAACTCTGAGAAATATAGGTAATGATGGACTGTAATGTTTGACTGGGCTGAGCACACCTTTATGAGCTCCAGAGTTCAGGAACTGAAGATTAGTCCTAGAAGTTCAATTGTTTAGTAAATGACATACTGGATCGTTGTGTAAAATTCTATTCACTTTCTTCATTTATATTGTGCTGACAAGTTTCACATTACAGGTATTTACATAATTCTCATCTGTCCTTTCTCCAACAAAGTTTATATTATAATGTCCCTGCCATAGCTATACACACTTGGGCCAATTTGGATTGGAGGCAAGTAATATTCCTATGTGTTTAAATAGAAATTGCGAGGAACCAGGATCGCAACCGGGAAATCCACAAAAACATGAGAAAGGAAACTCCATGCAGGTCGTGTCCTACTGGGAAATGATTTCAGGATCCGACTCTCACTGGCTCTCCAAAGCACTGAGGCATCTTTCAATGGACCCCACTTTTAGGCAATCTCTTCTCCCTATCAGTACACAGCAGGAGCTATACAGGAAAGATCCCACTATCTTCCCATCAGCAGTATGATGGAAAAAATCTTAAAAATCTGAAGCTCCTCCCCAATGTCCAAACACAGTGGTGGCAAAGCTTGTCATTGTGCCAAGAGATGGAAGACGTCACATGTGCCAGTGTCAGAGGACTTCCGAATGTCACAATGTGTCTCAGAATATAGTATATTAGAATATTTCACCCCTATAGAACACTTCATACCATCCCATGGAGGTCATCAGTTGGTGCTTGTCAATCTAGAATGCTGTGGATCCCTGTCAGTGGTTTCTGGCTCTGTCCAATGTGTTTAACAGACTGAGATATTCAAACACCATAACATTACATGTGGGGATGTTTGTGTCACATGAACTCTATGCATTCCTTAGTGTGTGTAACGGTCAGACCCCACAGGTCTGTATGGTGGAGGATCACAGCTGCAGAGGTATGAGGCGGGGGTGTAGAACTACACCACAATATATATGCAGTCTAATAGTAATAAGCAAATCAGCAATACTTGATCTAGAGTTAGGTTGAGGATTTATTCAAGGGAGCAGTTCTTGGGTTGGTGCGGTGAAGGAAGGGCAACAGTCAATGCTTGGATGCAATTTATAACTATCCACAGTCCTATTAATATGGAGGCATATGTAAGGCAACAGTCTGTTAGACAAAGTACTTGCTGTATCAGTGGAGAGGTTTTGCAGGAGTGACGTTGGTGCCCTCCAGTGGTTCCGTAGAGGAATTGCAGTCCTGGCTTTATCTGTCACTCTTAATGCTGGGTATAGAGTGCTGCGGATGCAGCCGACTTCCAGGAGAGGAGGGAGGTCAAGTATTGCTGGGAGAGGATGGCGGTTTTGGTGGGGCTCTGACCGGCCCAAAAACAGTAGTGGGGTTCAGTGCTGGGCGACGGGGAACTTGCCTGGCGTCTTCACACTTGCTCGAACGCCAGACAAGTGTCTCCGTCGGCCTTAACTAGGAAGAGGGGGAGGAGTCTCGTGACATCACAGGTGACGTCACGAAGCTCCGACGGCGATGCGAGCCGCGCTGGAACGAGGATCAGGTGAGTCTGTTACAGTGTGTAGAGGAAATAAAATCATTATAGGATCATGTGTATAATACATTACCTGAAAGTTACATAATCACATGTCCTTGTTTCTGTTATAATATTTGGTTCATTTGGGTGAATTTTTCTGATTACCTTTCAGATCTTCCGTGGCACCCCCAGATTGAAGAACTAAATTCATCCGACCTAAAACTCAACACTGAATCCAAAATACAAGTAAAAATCTCTGGATATTTCCCTGAGGATCTGACTGTGAGCTGGTATAAGAAGAATAAGGGGACAGATGACCTTGTATCTGTTGGCAATGACAATAAATACAAGACTGAAGTCATTGGACACCAGAGACAGACAGATCACACCTACAGCGGTACAGCCAGTCTGATCTTCACCCCCACACTGAAAGAAGACCAGAGGTCAGAGTTCATGTGCAGAGTGCAGCATCCCAGTATGGAGGAGCCCATAGAGAGAAGTATAGGACCCCTACAAATCATGGGTAAGTACTCTACAATGACAGCCTATAACTATTAGGATTTTCTATTGCTGGAATAGAGAAGTTCACATAGAATTCAGAAAGCATTTCCAGTGAAAACAGAAATTATTTCCTTCAGGCTGAGCTGTGATTTTTTTTTAGGTGAAATGGTAAAACTAATACCTGGGAATTGGCCAGAACTGGTACAATGTTTGGTTATACTTCAAATTAATACACACTGCGGTATCCTATAGATAATAAAAGTGACAGTGTAATCTCTCTTGTATTCATGTCTAGTGACTCCGCAGGTGATAGAGCCTGTGACATTCTCCCTCAGTGATTCAGGAGAGGTGAAGTGTTCCCTGACTCTGAAGAGATTCTACCCTCAGGATATTTCCATCACATGGAGCATGGGAGAACCGGAAACCAAGCTGACGTCTGATGGCAAACCAGCCAATTCTGAGGATGGTGAAACGTTTGATGCTAAAAGTGTGTGCACACTGCCCCGGGATCTCCGCTTTCCTGTGTATGTGATGTGGAATCATCAGTCAGTGAGACAACCTCAGAGGACCGTACTGAGGACATCAGGTAATAATACAGGAACACAGCACAATATATCATTCTCCGGTACATGCTGCATTCTGACTGAAGTTTGCTCAGAGCTGGGAGTAATTGTCGGCAAATAAAATTTCCTAAATTGAACCTGTAGAGTGATCGGCATTTACTTGTTCACTAGCCCACAGCAGAGGGTGCAGCAGGCTAACAAAACAAAATGTGGGATCCTGTTTCTAACATCACACTAGGGATCCATTCACATTTCTGTGTTGCGGTAAAGTGCAGAAAAATGCCTTTTATTTAAATTTGCCATTTTGTGTGAGTTGAGAAGCATTACCAGGACACTCAAAATGAATAGGATGACTTAATGCATGATACTGTGTCACCTTAATACAATGCACAGTGTGAACTCTCTATATATCATGCTGCCCATTGCAAGTCCCAGAACACTGGCTTGTGTGCAGTCATCAGTTCAAGGTGTTGTGGATGCTTTTCAGTGGTTTCTGGCTCCGTCCTATAAGTGTAACAGACTGGGCTAATCATACACTCATTGGATTAATTAGCTTGTGGAGGACTGGAGGACAAACCTATAGTGGCCTGTAATATCACCTTCCCCTTCATTACACACATAGCAGCATTCCTTCTGCCTTCATTCTGGTTAGGTAACAGGAGAAACACCCACCCCATACCCAGATCATTCCTCTGGCCGCTCTGGTGAGTGGATCTTATTGCTTTATACACCTAAAATCATCATAGGATCATTTTCATAATACATTACTTGAAAGGTACATAATCACATGTCCTTGTGTCTGTTATAATATTTGATTCATTTGGATGAATTATTCTGATTACCTTTCAGATCTTCCTTGGCGTCCCCAGATTGAAGAACTTAAGTCATCTGATATAAATCTCAACACTGAATCCAAAATACAAGCAAATATTTCTGGATATTTTTCTAGGGATCTGACTGTGACTTGGCATAAGATGGGGACAGACAACTTTGTTGCTGTGGATAACAATAGATACAAGAGTGTAATCAGTAATCACCAAAGACAGTCAGATAACACCTACAGCTGTACAGCCAGTCTGATGTTCACCCCGACACTGACAGAGGACCAGGGGTCAGAGTTCATGTGCAGAGTGAAGCACCCCAATATGGAGGAGCCCATAAAGAGAAGAGTAGGACCCCTACAAATCATAGGTAAGTCTCTACACTGACAATCCATAACTATTAGGATGTTCTATTGGTGGAATAGAGAAGTTCACATAGAATTCAGAAAGAATTTCCAGTGACAACAGAAATCATTATTTTCAGGCTGAGCTGTGATTTTTTTTAGGTGAAATGGTAATATGACTCCTGGGAATTGGTCAGAACTGGTACAATGTTTGGTTACACTTCAACTTAATACACACTGTGGTATTCTATAGATAATAAAAGTGACAGTGTAATCTCTCTTGTATTTATGTCTAGTGACTCCGCAGGTGATAGAGCCTGTGAGATTCTCCCTCAGTGATTCAGGAGAGGTGAAGTGTTCCCTGACTCTGAAGAGATTCTACCCTCAGGATATTTCCATCACATGGAGCATGGGAGAACCAGAAACCGAGCTGATGTCTGATGGCACACCAGTCATTTCTGAGGATGATGGAACATTTGATGTTACAAGTGTGTGCACACTGCCCCGGGATCTCCGCTTTCCTGTGTATGTGATGTGGAATCATCAGTCAGTGAGACAACCTCAGAGGACCGTACTGAGGACATCAGGTAATAATACATGAATACAGCACAATATATCACTTGTTACTGTTTACATTCTAGTAATTAATGATAAAAGTCTTCACATAAAATAAGTCTTCTATCATACTTGTAGATTCATAAAATGTCTGCTGATAACTGAACTAAAAATGTTATGTTTGTATTTCTGGCTCTGCCCAATGTGTTTAACAGACTGAGATATTCAAACACCATAACATTACATGTGGGGACGTTGTGTTACATGACCTCTATGCATTCAATAGTGTGTAGAGAAATGAATGTACATTTGTAAAGATGTATGGGATATAACATTAGCATATCGCAGCATAGATCGCTCTGGTGAATGGTTGTTATTGCTTTAAAAACGTAAAAGCATGATAGGATGATTTGTATAATACATTACCTGAAAGTTACATAATCACACGTCCTTGTGTCTGTTATAATATTTGGTTCATTTAGACTAATTATTTTGTATACTTTCCAGATCTTCCTTGGCGCCCCCAGATTGAAGAACTTAGGTCATCTGATATAAATCTCAACACTGAATCCAAAATACAAGTGAAAATATCTGGATATATTTCTAGGGATCTGACTGTGACTTGGCATAAGATGGGAACAGACAACAATGTTGCTGTTGATAATAATAGATACAAGACTGCAGTCAGTGAACACCAGAGACAGTCCGATAACACCTACAGCTGTACAGCCAGTCTGATGTTCACCCCGACACTGCCAGAGGACCAGAGGTCAGAGTTCATGTGCAGAGTGCATCACCCCAGTATTGAGAAGCCTATAGAGAGAAGTATAGGACCCCTACAAATCATAGGTAAGTACTCTACACTGACAACCTATAACTATTAGGATGTTATATTGCTGGAATACAGAAGCTCACACAGAATTCAGAAAGCATTTCCAGTGACAACAGAAATAATTCTATTAAGAACAAACATGAGGACGGGTGACCTTGTCCTGGTGGTATTGGCAGTACATACAAGAATAACCTCAGTGGACACCAGAGACACATAACACATACAACTGTACAGCCAGTCTGATGTGCACCCCAACACTGTCAGGGGACCAGAGGTCAGACTTCATCTGCAAAGTGCAGCACCCCAGTATGGAGCAGTCCATATAAAAATGTTCAGGACCTCTACAAGTAGAGAGTGTTCTGCATTGATAAGGAAGCAAAATGTCACCAGCAAATTGGTCAGATGAACGTCTTGGGAGCAATAGCCAATGTGATAGCAATGAACTAAAAAAAAACAAAAAAAAAAACATTTAAATAAACTAAAGTTAAAAATACCCCCAAAAAAATCAATGTCCCCCGCCTCTCAGCAAACATGTGCATTTTAAAAAAACTTGGCTCCTAACTTTTTTTAGCTGGCTCCTAGATTCACAGAAAAGTTGTCAAGCCCTGACTTAGATTATAAGATTCTTGAGGGCAGGGGCTGATGTCAATGAGAAGTATGTAAAGTGCTGTGTAAATTGTCAGCATTATATAAATACTAGGGCTCTGCAAATTAACGATGAATTTCTTGATTAATCGTTAATCTTTTTGATCGATTAAATTTTTTTTTGAAACTTTCTGCATGAGCGCCAGCCAAGGCATTGGCCTATACACATACAGCACAGCAATTAGGTAATAAAATGAACTAGGATCACACTAATCCAGCACAATATTATTCGGAGTTGCCCCACTCAAGCGGCGGCCATATTGAGTGGGGCACCTGAGATTAATAACGTGCTGGATTAGTGTGATCCTAGTTCATTTTATTACTTCATTGCTGTGCTGTATGTGTATAGGCCAATGTAGTTGGATCTGTATGTGCGTTATAATTATATAATCGAAAATAATCGATTAAAAAATTTTTCGATTCATCGAACACGAAAATTTTTATCATTACCAGCCCTAATAAATACCTGTTATAATATTCATGACAATGTTGGAGTCTTCAGGATGTCTGAGGGGCTCCAATGGTAAATGTCCACATCACTAGGCATCTGAAAAGGGGATGCTTCCACTCTGCAGCCCAAGAGAAACAAGATCTGGGACCTGCTGTGTCACAAGACCATGGATTCAAATGTGTTTGGATTTTTTTTTACATTACTGCAACAATTCGCTGCAAGTGGTTGAATTTACTGTTTGTAGGAGGACCTGGCCAGAGGTTTGCTTTAAGTAATTATTTTAAAACAGTATAGGACTCTGATTAATTGTATACGCCCGCCTAGATGATGAACAAGGTTTGTAATTACATCTAGATGCAATATAAATAACTGTTTGGGGGAGATGGTCCAAAAACAATTAAGCGAGAAATAACTGATTGCAAGTTGCAAATGAAGTGAAGATCTGTGGCTCATGAAAGGTTGGTGGACGGTATTAATTACCTTCACTTACATTCTCTACACCCACAGATCAGCAGCAACATTTACATTTCACTTCAATAAGCTAATGGCTGCTGAATCCTAATGACACCATGCAGGTCTGTTAGCATTTGTTTTCCTTATTCTCTACAACGTTTTTTCCATTACAGATTCTCCACTGATGAACAAGAATGAAGATGAGACAACAAATGGCCAACAAAAAGAAAGCAGTGAGGTATAAGAAGAACCTAATTCCATACCTATGATTCCTGTATAAGGAACCATGTGGCTATGTGGTGATACCATCCATTCTTAGACATATTTCACAGTCTGTGGGGACATTCGGATGGATGTACCTCCTGCAAGTGGAGTTTTACATTTTAAGACACTACGCACAGCGTTACGTTTATATAACAATGACATTGTTTTGTTATTATTTAAGCAGTTAGGCCCCATTTGCACCTAGGCATGTTGTCATGCTTAAGTATGTGCGACAAAATGCTCCGCATATGAATTCCTATTGATTTCAATGGTCCCCCCTTCACAACCTGGCATTGTGGCACTACTTTACTACTATGCTGGCATAAACTGCAGCATAGTAGTAAAATGCAGACATCAATGGAGGTTATTCACATCGCTGTGTTGTAGATCTGCAGGTATGTAAGCTGCCGACACATTTCAACACACTGACATCCACCAAGTACTGAATAAACAGTTCCGAGCGGCCTTTGCAACTGATAACCCAAGTTGAAGTGGCTGTTTACCTAAACTACCTTAAAATTATACTTTTATCATCTTTGTTACAGTTTTCTAAGTTTATATAGAAAAAATCATAGTTATTACATGGAAAAAATAAATATTACCTGTTAAAATTCAACAAGTGAGAAGCGATAAAGTGATTATATAACATGTGATTAATTATTATGAACAATTTATAATTATACTATAGGCATTAGAACTCCAACAATTAAATTATTTGTAATGATCTTGATTGAAGGAAATCAGATTGCATGCCAAGTATTCATCTTTGGAGGTAAGGGAAGTCAGGTAAGAAAAAGAATCAGAATACACAGATAGATGAGACAAATAAAGATGTGACTTTGCAGCCCCAACATAGGTTACTTCTCACACCAGGAGTGATTCTTTTGTTTTTGCACTTTGTGATTTACATTTATCTGCCTGATATTTAATGTATGTTCTCCGAGCACGTGGAAATTACAACTAAATCAAAGAAATTAAAGCTTTATTTAATATAAGTAACTCAGACAAAGATGTGTTTGTTGTAGTAAGACGTTTATTACCAACTCATGTGAGGTGCTTGAAACTGGAATAATGATAAAAAAATATGTTCATACCAGTAAGCTTGAAATGGAGTGTCTGTGGATTAGGAACACATGAGCGCTCTGACAGACAGAAGCTTTACTGACCGAGTTGTGTATTCTTCACTATAGTCACTAGATGTCGCTGTTACCCAACTAATGCCATTTGAACAGCATCGGCTACAGAACAATACAGTCTCAGCCAGCTTTCAAGTATTAGACATTATGACATATTACAGGGCATGTGGATTAGGGTGACTGAGTTACCTGTGAGGATATAAATACTAGGTTCCAGATTTGGAAAGACTGCGGCACCTTTTACATAACTGAAACTCAGAGGATGTCCACAGCTACATTCTATGGGTATATGTGTATTTAAAAAACATTGGCTCGCTGGGCGACCATCTGACTTTTACATTCGCACCATATTATGGCTCCTCAGCTTTATCTAGTGGCCATAATGTGGGGACAATGTAGAAGTCACATGTTTGCAAAGTGAGAGTCTCTGTGAAAATTTTATAAATACACCCACATGTGCAATTCGAATAAACCTGTCCTGGGGACAGAGAAAGCAAAGTGACTGCCACAGCTTCACAGCATGGACCTTCCGGGGCCAAGCGCTTCCGAGGAACCCTAACCTCCGAGCGCAAGCCCAATGGAAAACTTGAACCTCTGAGTATAGGGTGCAGCAGGTGCCCCATTTTCCTCCCATAATGCAATGCTCATCACTGAGAAACCAATCACAATGTCAAACCATTGTCAGATGGGGAGCTGACCGTACGTCTAACTGTATGCATATTCTAACTCCTATAGGAATCAATTACTTAAAGACCGGGCTCACACTTGTCGAGTGCGTTTATGCACACAAGTTAACATGTGTTACATCGCGCTTTAACGTGTATCGCATTAAAGGCAGCCCATTCATTTCAGAATGTGTTACCGCAATGTAATAGTGTGAACTCGGCTTTAAAGGGGAAATATCTCCATTAATCTTCAAATGGATGGCAAGAATTCACTTTTGTGGCATGATCTATACATTCTTAAATGTCGCATGTCATTTCCCGAAGACGCATTAGAAAAGATAAATACTATTGGGGGATTTATCAAAACTGGAGCAGGCAGAATCTAGAGCAGTAGCTCATGGCAACCAATCAGCTTTTGATAAATCCCCCATCCCGTATATCTTACTCTTATCTGTAAATCTGTATACTTTTTTTTATTCTTCAGTCTTCTCTGAAATAAAAATACTAGGACAGTAAAACACCCAAAATGACAGATTTTTGGGTAGCAGACACCCTGAGGTGATCTAATTTTTTGGAAACAAAGGAACATGCCGGTATTTAGGGGGGTACAAAATGGAGCTGGGTAATTGTGTGCTAGATTCTTTGTTGTACAGGTCATATACAGAGGGATCAGGAGGTGAATGAGGGTAAATGGAAAGGTCACATACAATGACAGGATGGAGATGAAGGGGTTAATGTGTAGATGTGCAGGATAAGTGAGGTGTGGGGTTAATATGCAGATCACAATACAGAGACAGGCTGGCGATCAGATGTGTAGGAGAGGGGTAAAAGGGTTTAAAAAAAAGGCCTCAGTCAGTGGAAATGAATGAATGTATCAGCTGCTCCTGACCTATTCATTCACTCATTACAGAGGGATCACCAATGCACACACTAGCACGGTCCAAGCTGCATGAATCGGCTCAGTACACTTTTTTCTGGTGACATTTTTCACCAGCGTGGGGAGTTATCAATCCTCTGTTTAAACACGTACCCTGGTAGAAAAGGGGTTAAACTGTGTTTTGTTTTTTTTCCAGAAAGACTAATTTTCACTGCCCATATTTATATATATACAAATATACCTCTCAACTTGCTGCGATAAGAAAGAGGGACATCTTGTTGTAGGCAGGCAAAGGTCGCACTCCTACTACGGCCCCAGTTACATGGACCATAAAGAATGAATGTGAAAAAAAACAATCGAGTAAACCCACAAACGCTTTATTTCAAAAACTTTTCCTTTCCCGCGGGTTTAACAAAAAACATATGAAACAATTTGGAGGTTGGATGAATAATTTAACCCCTTAAGGACCTATGACAGAATTATTCCATCATTGGTCCTTAACCACTTAAAGGCCATAGTGTTTCACCCCCTTCCTGGCCAGGCCATTTTTCAGTATTCAGTGATGCGGTACTTTGACTGACATTTATTCCGTCATGCAACGCTTTACTGAAACAATTTTCATACCATTTTTTGGGGACAGATAGAGATTTCTTTTGGTGGCTTTTATTCACCAATGGGGTTTTAATTTTTTACTATATAACAAAAAAAGTACCATAAATTTTGAAAAAAAAACATGTTTCCCTATAAAATTTTATGAAACATTTATTTTTACCCCAATTTTTTGGTACAATATAAAAGACGGGGTCACGTCGGGTAAATAGACACTAAACATGTCAACCTTTAAAATTGCGCACGAATAGGAGACGACGGGACACGGGTAGGGGGGGCGCACACCCGCAGATCCTGCAAGCGATCGCTTGTATGTAAACAGCCATCGCTGGCTGTTTACATGCTGACAGTTTTCCCTCTCGTGTGCGGCGCTCAGCGCGCACACGAGAGGGGGAGGGGCAGGACGTCTTAAGACGCCCTCCCGCTCTGAGCAGACTTCCGTCCGGCCGTTTACAAACGGCCATGGACGGAAGGTGGTTAAGGAGTTTTTAAGCAGACTGGCTGCCGGGATTTTGTTTACATTTGTAGAGCCGGCTGTCGGCTTTACAATAGAAGCGATTCTGGTGACTCAGCTGCCGCCAGATCGCTTCTACGGGAACGGTGACAGTAGGGGTCTTGTGGACCCCCAGCATCACCTTAAAGAGTACCTGTCACTGACAATATGCTATCACATGGGAGGCTTGTAAGCCAAAATCTGAAGCAGTTGTCATGGCAACCAGCTTCTTTCAGATTCTGTCTTCTCCAGTTTTAATAAATTCCCTCTAGTATATACTCCCAGGGGTAACCACCGCCATCTACTTTATTTTCCTTCCACAACTCTTGTAGTGGAGATAAGTCAAAGCATCAGAATTTTATTGTCAATAATATTTATTTATATGTAAAAGATACAAAAGGTAGCAAAACGCAACATTATCGTGTGTGCAGCTGCACAACAGTTATCTATTTTGGGTGTGGATGCCTGAAACAGATAACTGTCAGTGGCGGAACAATCGCCATAGCGACCCAGGCGGCCGCTATGGGGCCCTGGCCAGGACATCCCTCTGATGCTATGGCATCTCAGGCTGGTGGCTGTCACTGGCAGTTGTGAGGAGGTACGCCTGTCAGTGATGTGCGCCTGTTCCTCCTCATAGCTGCTGCTGTGTCAGTGACAGCCAGCAGCAGAGGAGGAGGAGGCTGGGCCCGGTGTCGGCAGCGAAGGAGGAGGCCGGGCCTAGTGATGGAGGAGGTAGGGGCCCGGAGATGGAGGAGGTGGGGCCCATTGACTTGGGAGGCGGGTCCCGTCAGCGACCGTGGAAGAGGAGGCAGACAGGTAAGAGGATTTGACCAGCCCACATGAGACCCTGCAGAGCCCACCATGGAGAGTCTATGGTGGGCTCTGCAGGGTCACTCTTAGGTGGGCTGTTTGGGTTATTAGGTGGACTTAACTAGAAATCACAGGGCCCCATACAAAATTTTGCTATGGGGCCCTGTGATTTCTAGCTACGCCCCTGGTAACTGTTGTTCAATTGCACACAAGATGTGAAAGGTGTTGTGTTTTGATACAGTTTGTATCGTGGATGGATAATAAAACTGATATGCACAAACTATGCCGCATCCCATCTTTTACATCTGGATATTGGCAGAAGATTGGAGACAGCTTGGTGTAAGCACTCTTTCTTACATTAATTTGTGCAAAGTGCAGCTCACCCTTGAACTTGAACTATCTCTCTCTCTATATATACAGAGGTGTGCAAAAGTCTTGCAACACCTGCCTCTACATGGAACTCAACCTATTTGAATAGAAATTAAAAAAAATAACAAGAATAGAAAATAACTTAAATTATATACCAGATTAAAGGAGAATGTATTGTATATTTCAAATCTGACTTCAGGATTAATCAGTTTATGACTATCCAGGTATTATGGGATAAAAATGAAGCACATGTGTGAAAAACACATTCATTTTTTATGAGAAATATGTAACTAATCAGTTTTCTACAGATACATTTTTCATTTTATAAAGAAACAGCAGACAATGAACAAAACAGACATGTAAATATACCTATTAAATAAAGTGCATGTTAATACTTGATTGTATGGCCTTATTTGTTAATACTACCTTTTGGACATCGTATGGACTAGTTTTTTTTACTAAGTCAACAAGAGGCCATCCATGAATTATACTTTCAGGTTTATTTCTTGGCTGCTTCCTCGATATTTCCAGACTTAGTTTCCTGCACAAGTTTCCGATTGGGTTCAAATCAGGTGATTGGGCAGGCCAGTCCAGATGACGAACACCTCTGGTTCTGTAACAGTCCTTCGCTGTCTTTGCTCGATGCCAAGGGCCATTGTCGTCCTGGAACATAAAGTCACCGTGTGGGAATAACTCAGCAGCACTAGGAAGCATTTTATCAGTTAGAATATCCGTATACTTGCTTGCATTCATCATTCCATCAATAAAGCACAGACTCCCAACTCCAGATGCACCCTTACAAGACCAAATCAGTACAGATGTTGGGTGATGTGGCTTGAATTATTCACCAGGATACCTCCTTACATATGAGGTATCATTATTTGCAGCAATGGAAAAAGTCGACTCATCATTAAATCAAACCTTTTCCCAGTCAGCTGTTGACCAATGTCTATTGTGCTTAGTAGAGATGTCCAGATACCAGTGCCGATACTTGGCATTTTCATGAGAACTACCAGGGTGGCAGTGTTTGCAGCTGGGACCGGGCTCTGGCGCTCCACCACTGTCCTGAAATCATTAGTCTGTACTGTTTTAGAAAAATCGTCACATGACACTAAACAAAAATGTATCAGTACTTGTATCTGTGAGGACTTGGACAAGTATCAGTACTTGTACTTGCAAAACTGTGTTCGGGGCATCCTTTAATTTATATTTATAAAAACAAAATCATACAATAAAACAGAGATGTACAAATCCCAGGATCTTCGTGTGCTCCTTACAAATGACAGCTGCCTCCTAACTTTTGAGTTTTTCTCTAGTCTAGTCTTGGAGCTGGAAAAGTATCTGTACCTGTACTTGTACCGAGTACTGTACTTGGTGTCGGTGCATCCCAAGTGCTTAGCCCACAGTAGGCGAGCTTTCTCTGATGTCCCAAAAGTAGAGGCTTCCTCCTTGCTTTACAGCCTCTAAGTCCAAAAGAAAGTAGTCGGCGACGGACTGTCGAAGCACAGCAAGTCACAGAAGTACTCTCTGACCACTCTCTTGCCAGCTCAGGCGATATCCGCATCCTATTTGAGTGGGAACGTCTTTCAAGCACTTTATTATCTCTTTCCGATGAACATAGAGGGCATCCACTGCATTTACAATGTTTTGTACCATAAAAAGTCTTTGGAAAATTAAAAGCAAACATAATAATGTTGATTTGTTTTCAGATTTGAAATCTACATTAAGTTTCCTTTCATTTGACATATAATGTAAGTTATTTTTATCTATGATTGTTAAATGTTTTATTTATATTCAGAGATGTAGAATTCTATGTAGAGGCAGATGTTACAAGACTGTTGCACACCTCTGTATATATCAAAACCTTCTACCAGCCAAAATTGGATAGTAATGTGATGACTAGTGGAGAGATGTGTGGATTGCGGAGATGTGCTGCAGTAGCCTCCTGAGTGACTGCAGACATCCATCCCCTCCTTACTATGCAGTGTCTGTGGGCAGGGGGTTTGCATCTCCTTACCATCCACATCTCGCATATGTGGTCTGCCAGCCCCAGTAGGAGGAGACATGCTATGTAACTGGGTGTGATGTGACTGACAAATATTGTGCAGTAGGTCTGGGAGGCCCTGGGCCCCTCTCTCTGTTGTGCTGTTACAATGTCCTCTCTGCTCCCGATCCTGCCACTGCTGGTGACAACTGTCTGTGAGTATGATGATGATGATGATGATGATGACACTGAAAAAGGGATGTGATCAATGCTGTGGACAGGGGCAGCTGCAGATTGCCACATTAGCGGTGTGCGTGCCCTTGTCGTATTGTGCTATTTGCATGCCGGCTGGTTTCACAATGAGATTCCTGAGAAGCCGAGAATCAGCAGCATCGCTCTCTGCAGATGCACGCTGTGATGGTCACGCAGTTTGATGTACGGATGTTTTCTGTGGCTACAATGTCTCCAGTGCTTGCCATTGCTGGAGGCATTACGCAGTGTTACTACGCACAATAACTCCCCCGGAATCCTGCGTGTCCATTCTATAAATCTCTGGTTGTGTGCGGACCTGTATGCAGACTGATGTCATGCTAGTACCGTGTTTACAGTGGCATCCTTATTCTGCAGTGTGATCATGATAGGAACATGTCCATCTGTCTTCATTAAAGCCGGGCACACAAGGTTAGAATTCCTTTTGGAAACATTTGTTTTCGATTCCTACGCTCGATTTCCTAATGGTTAATGGCGACAGATTGATGATCGCTTTCGACCACAACATATGTAAAAAATTGGAGAAGCCGGATGGAAAATTTATGTACATTGAATGAAATTCTAATAGTGAATGTGGTTTTCGTTTGGGAAACTTTATTAATTGCCAAAATCGAATGTTAAAAACAAACACAATTTCAGAGAACATTCAGCAAGTCTCTGATGGCATTAAGCTTAAAGAGGAACTTTACCCAAATCTTCAAAATGACAACAAAGACACCTTTAGAAATGTTTACTGATGACAATCTACAAACACATGCTTCTAGATCATTGCCGGCTTTGTATTCTCTGCATACCTTATATATCTTTTCCTCCCCAGTCTTCTCACAGCGGCCATTTTTACTAAGGGCAGATGAATCCATCTCCCTTTACTTCCTGGAATCTGGCACATGTGACTAGGACATGTGACCATGCACATCATCTCAGGGGAGGAAAATGCCTTTCCCTGAGAACTCATGAGATTATAGATGAGATTTCCCAGCAATGCTTTGCTGATGTATCCCTCCTAGAATACCAATGCTTGCGCACAATTACATAATTTGAGCCAAAGTGGACCAGGAAGTGGGAAAATAGAAATTGTAAGTAAAATAGAAATGTTTGTTTAGCTGATGAATGTGAGATGATTTCATATCAGCATGTAGAGCTGTACGCTGATGTGATTTTTAGTCAAAGGGGGTAAAGGTCCGGTTTAAGTGACAATGATTTGGATAGATCCCCTCAGGCACTTCTATATCACAGACCCTCCAACAAATCAGGATGACCATCTCTCGTCAATTATTAAGATCAACAACTCAACTGTAGACAGGCTTCCTCCTGCCTGCAGTACTCCTGCCTGCAGTAGATTGATGACGTCATCTCAGCCTAGCCATAGTCACTGAATGGAGCTGAAGGATGGCTGTTTAATGATAAAGGGAGAAGCTTTTTTTAATACCTATAATGTGGCATGTCACAAATGTGTTCATGTTGTTGCTAAAAGGTCCACTTTAAAGGGAACCTGTAGTAAGGAAATCTGGAGGCCAACATTACAATCTGAAAATGCTAGTGTACTGGCTGCCCAACATATTCAATGTCTTCAGTACCTTTGGAGTCTCTAGCCTGTAACATATATGCAGATCAGGAGTTCCGTCTTAGGTTGTTGCATGCATGTATGGAGTAAGCAGTTCAAGCTAAAGTCAGCCAGGTAACTAGCATTTTTCAGAAGGAAATCAGTAAAAGAGCGCCGTGTGGAACGCAGGTCCTGTTAACCAGCGGCTGCGAAAGTGTGCACCCAAGTCACGCCCTTTGTAACCCGGCACGTGCGCGGAACGGGACAGAGGACCGGCTCTAGAGTTTGGGAAAGTTCCTCTAGGCGTTCCTTAGCAACCACTGCGGCCATAATATTAAGGCCAAAAACAGGGAATAATGCATAATACAGCCAGCAGCATTGAAAAACAGTGACATTTAAAAAAAAATATTACAGACCAAAAAGAAAGAAAAAGGGAGAGAAACAAAAATTGATAATCTGTACGTCAGAACGCAGAGCTGCCCCTTGATTGTGGGCCCACTGGTAGTGCACAACAAAAACTGCTCAAAAAACTTTATTACATACAGATTATCATTTTTTGTTTCTTTCCCTTTTTCTCTCTTTTGGTCTGTAATATTTTTGTTAATTTCACCGTACACTATTTCCATTTCTGCATCCTGTACCCCACATGTCATCTCAGGTTGTATTTTGCTTTCATGCACTGCAACAGTGACATACCATACGCCACAGTATACTTATTTACTGTCCACAATACATTACATAATGTATTATCTTTGCCAATATTTACTGTTGCCATGAGCACCAACACCCGTTCCAGATTGGTTTATATGTATATGTATGTTTCATTTGATCTCTCACGGAGACAGTGCAACCGTTATCTGCTCAGCGAGGAATCTTCATGCGTTGAGTTAAAAATAAAAAAAATCAATGGCATGAAGTGCTCTCGTATGGCCACTGTGACCATGACTCTAATTCCCTATGTACTGCTGAGATGCAAACTGGCGTCTGCAGGATCACTAACACCTTATTTACTGCATTGGATACTTTGGAAGGAAAAGTCTGAGCTTGACATTTTCCAATGATGTGCTATAAAGCTGCACAATACTTCACACTCCTCACAGCAAAGTAGTCTATATAATATAGAAGAGGAAGAGGTGAGATTGTAGGATGCCAATGTGATAATACATATGTAGAGTGCAATCCCTCGGAACCTGCAATCAGACTCAATGGTGTATGTCTGTGTTACACGTGAAAAGGTGACAGCTCAGTAACTATCTGTGTCTCTCAGGTGCTCAGCTGCAAGTCACAACTCCTCCTTCTCCAGTTTCGGCTGAAGTGGGATCCACCGCCATCTTGCAGTGTAAGTTTACCTTAGGTGTCACCCCGGTGGACCCCGCACAGGTACATGTGGTATGGAAGAATGAGGGGAAGAAAGTACTGTCGTACGTGGATAAAATCACAGCGTTCAGACCTGGGGCAGAGATCACAGAAGAGAACTTGGCACAGGGAGATGCCTCATTATTTCTCCCTAATGTCACCCATGAAGACGCTGGCTGGTACTCCTGTAGCATCCGACTAGCATCTGAGCAAGCCACACAGAGTTTAAACTTAATAGTTAAAGGTAAGTGAGAATTGTGTCTATATTTATTAAAGATCTTCCTTACAATAGAAATGTTAAGGAGTTTGCATGTTCTCCCTGTGCTTGCGTGAGTTTCCTCCGGGTACTCCGGTTTTCTTCCACACTCAAAAGACATGCTGGAAGGTTACTTGGTTACTTGGCATTAAGGGCAGCCATCTGAGCCTCTGTCACGTACCTTAGGGGAGTCTGAGTTGATGAGGGCGGCCTCTATCACAGCTCCGGTCCCGGAGCACCTGGATTGGTTACAGGGGCGCCGGGGCACAGAGGGGCAAGGGTGCCAGAGGCTGGTTAGCCTGTTGCATCTGCGAGATGAGATGAAGTGCGTAGATCCGGGCAGGAAGCAGGATGTGGATGCACCGAAATGGATCAAGAAGGCTCTAGATCAGATGAGCTCAGGAAGCTTGAAGCAGAACACACAAGGCAGAAGGATCGTCAAGCAGGCCGAGGTCATCAACGAGGTAGCAATGTAGTACAAGGGGTGAGGCAGAATCAAGGTCAAAAACAAGCCGGGTTCTTCAGGGAGCAAGCAACAACAGAGGGTAGTCCAAGCCGGGTCCGTAACGGGTAATCAGGATACAGAATTTACAGGAACACAGAACATAGAAAGCTGACGATCTGACAGCATAGGAGGATAGCTGAATACAGCCTTTATAGCCCAGTTGGCCCAATTGTTCAAATGACACGTCGGCGCGTGCCTATGCGCACAAACACGCGCATGACGCACACGTACGCGTGCACGTCCACGCAAAGACGCCGCTCCTATTACGGCTCTATGGTCCGCAACAGGCGCCTGCGCATGCCGAGTATGCAGGGGTGGCCATTAAATGCCTCTTCCTCACACAGAACCTCCTCATGACTGCTGATAAGAGATGGAAGTATGGACAGAGACTGGTCAGACCTAGAGGAACCCCTCACCAGGAAATAAGTACTTAGAGGGTCTAGCTCTTACAAACGCAAGAGAGAGCAGCAGGCCTAAACTCAATGTTTTACTTTAGATCTAATTTAACAACACAACAGAATGTAATACCAACAAATATCAATACACCAATACTTGTCTTATGAGGAGCTATACTGTGTGTAAATGCAATTAATCACCAAGATGTTTCTGTCTCATCAGATTATCGCTACATCAAAGTTGAAGGAACAACAGTAATACAGAACAATTCCAATGAACTACATTGTTCAGCAAGTAACCTCTCATCTCCCGATGTGATGTTTGAGTGGGTGAGAAATGGAAACGTCCTCAGCACCTCCGTGCCGCAGGTGGTGGAAGGTTCTGATAGTGAAGGCTTTAAAGTGCAAAACTCCTTTTGCTTTACTCCTGTCCTGGGGGATGACAGCGCTCGCTATGCTTGCCAAATTAAGCAAAACAATGTCCCTTACCAACTGAAGAAAACATTCCAAATAACCTTTGGAGGTAAGTCTTAAGCCTCGTTCACATGGCCGATCAGGGCAGCACACTATGCACCAATAATAAGGGTATTTCTGCAGCTGGGATCACAGGTATTTGAAAAAATATATATAATAGGGAGCCCCTATATAGGGTGAAACAAAGTAGTCAAAGCTCCCAAAATTTACTAATGCTTCAAAAATCTAATCAGAATAATTCCCAAAGGGTATTAAACCCAAATAATGTATAGAAAATAGGAAGATAACCCCCATAGGGATGAACTCCTTGGGTATAGACAAACTAGCTGCATAACATTTTATTGTATGTGTTTGTATTGTTATTTAATAAACTGTTATATATTTTTACAAAGTTTGTTTGACTGATTCCCAAGGAGTACGTCCCTATGGGGGTTATCTTCTTATTTTCGATCACAGGTATTTGCAATCAGCCGTGGCCAGGAAGTTTGTACAAATCAATAACAGAAGCTGAGGCTGCACACTGAGCAGTTAAATGTGGCTAGGGATAGATGAGTGGCCCCTGGACGCATTCTGTCTGTGTCCAAGACCGCTCATCTGTTCCTAGCTGCATGTAACTGCTGGATGAGCTGTTATACTAATAAGTAAAAATAATAGAAGTAAATATTAATATTCAGCTTACTTTCACATCATTAAACAGCTTAGATAAAGATAGGCAGCAACAAAGATCAATCCCCTTAAATCTTAAGCAATATTTGCAAATTTCTGATGACTTCTATCTCGTTGTCCTACAGTTCGTCCGCAAGTCACATTCTACCTCTCCAGCAAAGGTCAAAAGAATTCTTCCTTAGTCTGCCTGGTGTCAGGCTTTTACCCTGATGATCTGAGCCTTACAATGAAAAGAGACGGACAGCTCCTTGGCTACAAGTTAAATAAGTGGGTGAACGGCAATGGCACCTACTCACTAGAGGCCACTCATCGGACCAATGTGACTTACGGTGATAGCAACATTGATTACTCCTGTACCGTTCATCACCCTACAGTGCCAGGAGGTGCAACAGAAAGACTCAAATTCCTAGGTATGTATGCCACCTATGCTACACAAAAAAGCCTTTGTAAATTAATATATAAAATAAAAGTGTCCTGGATACAATGGTCTTGAAATCAAAAGCAGCATTTGAACCTGATGTAAGGTAAATAAAGTCTTTTGTCAGTGCACAGTATCCAGCAAGGGTTTTATTTAAAGAAAATTATTGTGCAGGGGATGATGATTTGAAATGGAGATAATACAGAATGATAGCGGTCCATACTCTTAACAGTATAGATGTGTCATTCTCTATCACCTATCTGCCTGAACAAATGGTCTACTGTGAACTTCATATAAGCATGAAGTCAAGCAAAGGTATCCTAATTTATATAATTCCATTAAAACTATTTGACTTTATTAACTAGAGTTCAACTGACACTTTTATTTAAAAGGATTTATTGTGACTTTTTAGCATGACAGTGTCTCCCGAAAGATTCAGGATCTTAGCTGAAGGGTGCTTTATAGCTGTTATATGGCCATAAATACTTTCTCCATTCTGAAGTGTCACCAGGGTGGTTGTTAGGTTTGTGGTGTGGGCCCGAGATGACGAGGAGGACCTCCCTTGCAACCCCGTCTGATGACCACTGGGGTTGAGAACAGTAGGTTTCAGGCAGGGGATCCACGAGTGCCGGATGCGGAATTGTAGGTCACAAGGTCTACTTGGTGACCTAGCAGAATAGCCGCCGTGCTTGAAGGGTTAGGCAGAAGGGAGCGTGAGAGACAAGCCGGGTCAGTAGCGTGCAGGCAGTAAGGTACAAAGGGGTTAAACCCGAGAGAAATCCAGAGACAAGCCGGGTCAGTAACAAGTGAGCAGCAAAGTACAAGGATAAAGCCAGAGAGAGGTCCAGGGACAAGCCGGGTCGGTAACAAGTAAGCAATGGGAACAGGAACCACAATGGGAAAGGAACAGGAGCAAGGCAGGGCAAATGGCCAGGGAACAGGAACAAGCACAGCAAGAACATCCAGTGCTGGCTGAAGATCACCCAGCACTGAATGAGCGTCCTGCAGCGCCTTATATAGGCCGAGGATAAGCTACTGCGCATGCGCCGGCGTGATTACGTCACCGCGCCGCACCGACGCGATGACGTCATGCCTCGCGGGGACGCAACCCGCAGGGCCTTCTGCCGTCTGCGCGGCCGGGACGTGCTGCTGGATACCCTCTCCGTCTGTGTCCCCGCAGAGGGACACAACATCTCCCGCGAACAGGTAACCGACAGTGGTGTTGACAAACAATTTACCAAACGTCTACAGATTAGCCATCTCTGCCCACAACCAGAATAATATAAGGTGTTAAGATTATCTGGTACATACTATAGTCATAATGTAATCATAAAGGTTTATTTGCCACAAAAGTAGAATGAAACAACAAAAACACACAACTGTAACTTCCTCTGTAATGGATTCTGAAATGTACACGTACAATTCTGACATTTTGCTTTGTGTTCTTGCAGTTGATGCTTACATACCTATGGGAATATGGATTGCTGCTATTAGCGGCCTTTTCCTGGCAATCCTATTTCAGATTTTCTGCAAACACGGTAAGTTAGGCAAAATTATTCCAAACAAACAAATCCATCTAAAAAAACCCATCTATTGCTATATAGTAAAAGCATGCTCAGACACATGCTGCATCAGCTGACATTCTGTAAATGGATAGTCATTGGAAAGTACCACAGTACAAATGCTATTGCTCTTAGACTCCAGGTATGAAAGAATAAGAAAGAGCAGAAGAAATTCTAAATACATTGCCCAATGCACATCAGTATGGAAAAACCATATAGTGACGAGTGACTTTGACAACTTATATCTAGCAGAGGGAAGGTACATGCCGGTAGGGCAATTTACAGCACAAGAACTAATGAAAGTTTCCTAGAATTCAATCCTGCTACCTGGCAAATTAAACCAAACTGTAATTTGTTTCTAATGGTCATATTAAAAACACATTGTTTATATTCTGATACTGCCTGTGACTATGGGCCTCATATATTATTATTATTATTATAATATATACATACAAGTAAATTAGAGAAGATTTATAACCAGAACCCAACTACAAATCTGGTGCATTCTTTTATAAATGACAAACTCATTTTGGACCATAAAAATTATTTAAAACTTCCATAATAATAAGTGTTCTGTCCACAGGGCTAGTCAGAAATGTCCTGCATGACCACTCTAATGGTGACAGGTTGAGGTCTTACCTAACAACATGTTAAAAACTATTTTCCAATAGACAGAAGCACCCATCATACACCCCTTTCCCCAGTGTTTGATTTTCTGCCAGTAGCTACAAGTTAAACTGTAATATGGCTTGCATGGATCCCAGGCCCCATAAGACCTCCTTACCATATAACTGAGGTATATTGTTAGTCATACTTGCAAGAGTATTTAGTCCCTAGTGACCTGTAATCATAGCGTTGGGAAATAATGAGCTTAGTGTTTACCTGTGTTTTGCTCCAGAGGAAGCCTGTTTAAACATACAATAATTATACATTCTCTACCAGATAGGCATTTAAACGAAATGATTATCAGCAATCGCCTAATATTTCTTGTTCTCTATGCCATTCTAGTGACAGACATCTCAGGGTGCAAAGACTGGACTGCGGGGAGCATTGGAATCCTGAAGTGCAGCATCTCAGGGCGATACCCCAGGTCCCTAAGTGCGGTGTGGCTGGTCCGGCGAGGGGACAAGGAGACTGAAGTGAAGGAGAGAGGCTCGCTCTACACGGCAGGCAATTACAGAGAGCTACAAGAACAGGATTGCTACACATGCTGGAATGTTGTCAAGAAAAAATGTATTGGTGGACTTCGCCACTCTCTCTGCTCCATCCTCTGCTTTCAGGTGCACAAGGAACAGCATGACCAGGCGGAATTTATCTGCCGCTTCATGAGAGCAGGAAAGCTACTGCAGGAGAAGAAATTCTACGGAACTGTGCTAGGTAAGCCTATAACTGTAAGCTACAACTAGGAGACTATAACTGTGACCTGGAGGATGGCAATGGTCTTGCTAGCTATTGGGGCCTGTGTACTTGGGTTTCAAAAATGCTTTTCTCTCCATACAAGTCAATAGCCATGCAAAAGCAGCTTGATGCAGTTTAGAGGTCAAATGCAGGTCAGAAGGTGGTCAGCTTCAGGTCTAATGCACCTGTGATGGAATTCACAGAATCATCTTAAATTGACCTGAAATACGAGTTGAATCCACCTGAAAATGTGCTGCGTTGTCCATCAACACATCTGCACATCACATCACTCCTTTATTATTCCGAATAGATATTCCTAAGAATTTTGTTAAATACAGACATTCGGATGCATCCAAATTTCCGAATGTGAACGAATACGAATGCTCCATCCAAATGTCATTCAAAATAAAAAAAATTCAGACATGTGACTGTTCTCTTGCCAATCCGAATAATGAACTGAATCAAATTTCAGATCCAAATTCCCAAAAAAATAAAAGAAATAAAAATCTAAACTGCATAATTTACTACACCGATCTGAAGCTAAACAATTTTTTTGCGGGGTTTATATGTCTATTTTTCATGTTTTCTAATGTAGAATCTTTATATCAATACCTAAAAGTTCAGCAAAATTGGTTAAGCAACATCTGTCTGTATTATATCTGCATTGATTTCCATCTAACAGTGTAGGTTCTAACATAATCAAGTAATGCTTTGATAAATATAACTATTGCAATTTCCAAGAACAATGGTGACCCAAAAATCGGAGTATGGTACTGTGTCAGCTATGTACTAAAGGAGTTATTCACAAAGCAGCCGAAGGCAGCCGAGTGAATAACCAAGCCGTAGTGAAGTGAGCCGAACAACGTTCGGCTATTCCCTACAGCTCAGTGCGGCTGATTACAGGCGTACATCGGCTACCTTCGGCTGCACTTCGGTCAGCCGAAAATGCTCTGCATGTTATTTGGATCAGCTGAGCCAAAGCTCCTGCAGCTCACTCGCTGAGGGCTGAACGGCAATCAGTGAATAGCCAAATGCCGCCCAGCGCCCGTACCCGAAGCTAGCCGGAGTATCAGCCGAAGGTATGGCTGGATCCTTCGGCAGCTTTGTGAATAGACCCCTAAATCCATAGTAGCACTGAGGATAGAATCTTCAACCTTAGTTGGGATTTTGCATTTAGGTGTTAAAAGAAAACTATCACAGAAAAAAAATGTGTTCTAA